GTGCCATGAAAAATTACAATGGAGGATAAGAGAATTATAGGGAGCTGGTATTTTATATTGGGAGCTCAGGTAAAGGGCTCCCCAAAGAAGTGACATTTGAGGAGAACCCTGAAGAAGTGAGGAGGCAGTCCATGTGGTGGTTATGAAAATTGTGTTCCAGGCAGAGGGCACAGCCAGGGGCTCCCAAGTGGCTGAAGCTTAGTGAGTAGGGAGTGGGGAGAGATGATCCCAGGGAAGGGACGGGGAGGGAAGTACCTCCTGAAGGGCCCTCAAGGCCATCCAAAGACTTCAGACTTCGAACTGAAGAAAATGGAGAGCCACTGGGCAATTTTAAAACAGAAAAGTGACATGACTTTGCTTACATATGCTTAAATGCTAGGTTAGGTCTCCAGTTGAAAAATCTCTTCCTCTTCTGTCTCTCACATTTCAAACTCGGTGTGTAATTCCTTTTATAGCTCAGTGCAATTTGCACCTTAATTTGAAAAGCTTAAAAAATAAAACTTTAAATGCAAATCCATGCTGAGAAGGATCAAATAAAAGCACCTATTTGTGCAGCTGAAAATTGACAGAAGGGGTTAGTGATTGGAGCAGCTTTTTAACCTAGCTTATTATTACAGGATTACTTTTGTACATCATTTAGTTATACTTTCTACTGGGTGTTCAAAACCAAGTTAAGATGAGCCTTGTTTTAATTAAAATTAACCTCTTGTTGTCTATCAAGTTCAGTTAAGTCTCCTCAGGCATTACTTTGGAACCATGTGCAGAGCCTTTTAGTTCCTCTGTCATTGTCAGCCATCAGGATGGGTTATGACCTTGCTTGACCATGTTGCTTTCTGTGAAAACTTAGGAAATTTTTTTCTCCAGGTGACCGTCCTTTAGCACACTGTACGCTTGCTGATTTCTGTCCTCTGGTGTCCAGCAATCTCCCTGATTAGGAGGTTGAGTGATTCACTAAGGTTGTAGGGTCTCATAGAAAAGGTTCCTTATGTCCTGGGTCCTCTGACCTTGGAGGGCCAGGACAAAAATATTGGATTTCCTCTTAGCCCAGTTACCTTTCTAGTTCTGGCCTCTAAATTTTAGTTGTTGAACACTCAAAAGAAAAGATCAGTGACATTAGTATTGTAGTGGGAACAGTGAGCTTAATTGTTATTATTTTATCTGAATACCAAGCACATTGAAATATAAAGTATAGACAGAAGACTTTTATTTCTTAGCAACATGGTTGTTTTAGTAGTTGAATCTCTATAGAATGTTAACAGACAACAGTTATATAGTTTTACAAAGAAAACTTGAGCTCAAAAGCAACACATAGTGTTTCAGCATGACAATCATAATGACATTATTTTTGGAACACACTTAAATATCCATCTTAGTATAGAACAGAGTGACATATATAACATATACACCACATAAGTTTTTTTAAAGGCTATTATTTGACAGGCAATCTCATGTTGATTTGATATATATCTCTTATCACAAGTAGTTGGAGCACAAGAGAAATGCAGATGTCTGAGTCTAAAAGAAAAAAGTTATCACCATAAATAATCCTGGTTTTATATCTTAGAAGACCTATACACTTGGAAGGCATGAATATATTCAGTATACCATAAAATTAGTAATAATGAATGTCATAGCTATATGAAAACCTTTCACTCTTAATTTAGTTTTATACCAAAAAATCTTTTAATGGGAAAACCTTATTATTTTATTTATAGAAAACAACCTTTTGACAATGACCAATATAAACATCACAGGTGACCATTTTAAATAAGCAGCATTTATAAAACTGTGGTCCTGACCATTTTAAATAAGCAGCATTTATAAAACTGTGGAGATACCAGCATTTCCTTAGTGAACAAGCCTAGAATAACATTTCCAGGCAGCTGCTCCTTTATTCATCAAGGAGAGCCCTGTCCAGCAGTTGCCTAAGCCCGGGGAGTCTCTATGTAATTATCTGAACACATTTTTAATGACCTATGCCCAGCTCATAATAATTAACATATTATTTTTGATCAATAAAAGAATCCCAAATTATTATATACAGACAACAATATGCATTACATTTGTAAAAACCATTCTTAAAACCATTCCACCAGTCTTGGTGGAAGCAAGTCTTTAATTTTAATGACATTTGTCTATAAGCCAAATTAAGTTATAGACAAATGCTTCAAAAAATTTAAAAAGGCAAAAAGAAGAAAAATAGTTGAGTTCAAACAAAGCAGCTGTAATTGTAGTACAGACAGACCAAGAAAACACACATAATATGATTTGTTTACAAAATCAGAGTGTACTCAGATATATTTGATCAAATTGAATTATAATAATTTTATAATTTTTAAATTTGTAATTATAATTAAACGTCAGAACTTTTTGTAGGTCAATTAACAGAGATCTCTTATAATAAGAATTAGAAGGAACAAAAACCTTTTACCTATAATCACTATTGTTTCATATTTTATTTTGGCAACTCCATGCCCTTTTTCTTTCATTTAGCCTCCAGCTCAGTCACCTCTACACCTTCTGTCTCTTACACAGACTTCATCTTCCAAAAGCATTTGTGGGGGCCTTCTCTGTAAGACTTAACACAGTTTGAGTTAACATTGAATTTTTATAAGATTTGGTTTTTATATTTTGACAAGCTTTGAGATAATTTTTAAGATTTTTTTGTGGTCCTGACCATTTTAAAGCACTGGCTGTAATTTTGATTTATATTTTTAAAAGCTTCTTGAAGCATGGTAATTTTGGTTGCTTGTGAATGAAGCTGCAGATGGCCTACTGTGTAACTAGGACTACAAGTGTGGCTCACCACACCCAGTGTGGCCAAGTGACGCAGAGAGGGGAAGCTACTTTTCTGTTACATGCTCTGCCGTTGGTCTACCATGGCTGAGTTGGGAAATGGCCACTGGCTCCATCTGCCATAGGCACAGCCCCCAAAGGCGACAGCCTGCCCCTTGGAACCCTGGGCCACACCTGCACATGGACAGCCTTCCCACCCTCCTGCACTCCTCATGCACCAGGCTGGTTGCTCCTGATTATTGTGCTGTGGCTCTTCAGACCCAGTGCAGACACAGTCTGTGTACACCACCACCTCCCTTGTGATTGCCACCCCCGACAGTGACCGCGCAGCCACCTTGGTGCACTGTGTCAGCCTCTACAAATTCTGGAAATGCAGGCCAAAAAATAGTCTCTACTTTTTTTCTTATCTTTCCCTTCCCTGATCAGCATAGGCCCTTTTTAAATTTTCTCTCACTTTATCCCAATTCTCTACATCCAAAGTTCCCACCTGCAGAAACCATGGGTTATGTTTGGTAACATCTTGTAGTATTTTTGAAAGAGATCAAACTAAGTTCCAAGTTGAAAAGATCTCAGGGAAAACCATTTCTCCTCTGTCGTGTGTCCATTTAATATTTTTTCCAATTCTTTCCCAATTATCTATATCCAAATTGTCTGCCTAAGGAAACCATGGATCATATTTGGTTACCTCCTGTAGCATTTTTGATAAATTTTTAGTCACCACATGAGCCCCTGAGTGTTTTAATAAGCTTCAGAGCAGCTGATTATATCTCTGCTCTTCAGCTGACCTTTTCTGCCCCATGTTTTATTCCCAGATACAAAACAGCTATTTGTGGCAGTGAACGCTTTATCTTTCTGTTCCCTCAAAGACATCTCTGCAATTCTTCCCGTGAAGTCTTTCTTTCTTCTCTGTTTCACAGCCTCTTTCCACTCCACGTGGTCCTTACTTGTCCTGATTTTTGTAAAAGAAAAAGTCCCTCAGTTTGGACAATTATCAGGAGCTGATCCATCTCCCAAACTTATGGACAAGATTATGGAAAAAGGTTAAATAAAAGAGAAAATGCAGTGGTTTGTGGGGGTCCAGGAAGTTCCAGAGCTTTCTTGGAACTAAGACAAAGACTTCTCTGGACTGTTAGTATTTATTGGGTCCTTAATAAATCAAGGGGGTGCAGGGAAGTGGAGGGCACATCTGAGGCAAAAGGCAGGTGAAAATGAGCAAGCTTTGAGAAGTTAGAGAAAAGACATTCCAAGCAGTAAATCTTACCAACCAAGAGAAATGCTTTATCTCTTAAGCTGGCAGTTATTGCCCTGGAATAGGGAGTAAGAGCCAAATGTCCTCAGCTGCTGCCTTACCTTGCCTTCAGAGGCTGTGAATATGAGCTTTCCCAACAGAGCTAGAGAGCACTGTGGTCAGCACCTTAACCTCTACACAGTTACACTGCCCAATCCCCAGCACTCCCCTGTCCAAGAGACTCATCCCTTTCAGCTGACAAGGGCCACCTTGGTGGGATAAGGCAAGAAGGGGGACGTGCCAAGCCAGGGAGAGCTTCAGTCCACCTCCTGTGGAGTCAGCTGAGGGGCTAGCAGCGGAGCACCTAGACCCAGTCTCCCTCCCCGCACCACAGACAGAACAGCAGTCCAGGAACCCTGAAAGATGTCTTTGGTCACAGAAAAAGTACCACAGCTGAGAAGGGTTGTTTTATCGGATTTGTTTGTTTTATGGATAACAAGAATCTACTCAGGCATCCTTGGGGGAAGAAAGTCTTGATCCAAACGAATGACAATTTTATTGAGTCATGAGAAAACTCTTGCAATTACTTGGGAGAGGGAGATCTGACTGATAGGCACCTCTAGGGCCCAGGCTCACAGACAACCTGTCACAGGAAGCAGCTGAACACTGGGAGAACAGGGTGTGTACGGAGAAGAACCACACCTGGTCCCTGTTTGAGCCTCATTTCCTCATCCATACAATAAAGATACCATCAGCATCCCTGCCTGTCCCTGGCGGGAAGGGAACAGAGTGAGGATCGCAGGGTGAGAGGGAGGGGAAAGTGACCAATTTTTATGAGGCAAACTCACAAGGCATATGTGTGGAAATGGCCAGGCTGCCTGCTTTTATTTAGCCCCTTCCGGTGCTATGGGCACCTAGACAGGGACCAGGCCAGACAGCACAGGCCCATCTGCTTCCCCTGGCCTATCTCCTGCAGCCTCCTCCCAACACTGAAGTAACCTCTCTCCTTGGACCTTGCTGGGCCTCAAAGGCCCTGGCTGATCTTGCTGGGACCATGGTTGGACTGAAGCCTTCGGAAGAGCCTCCCACAACAGCGGTGAAGTTCCTTGGGGCAGGCACTGCGGCCTGTTTTGCTGACCTACTCACATTTCCACTGGACACAGCCAAGGTCCGCTTACAGGTAGGTGCCCTTTGGCCTAGGGTCATTATTCACACAAAAGGACAGGCTGGTCACTTTCTCCACATGCCCAGGCCATCTGCCAATGTGCCCTTCCTCACACAGAGCCCTGGGGAGACCACTCACTCCACTGCTTAGGACCCTTCCCTGCCTCCTCCCCACCGCCATCGCCCAGGACAAAAGAAAATCTAAATGCCTTGGTATGATGTGACAGGGCCCTTTACTGCCTAGCCCTGCTCTGTAAACCATAAAGTGTGAAACAAAGGTAAGGAATTAACTGTGTGACTGTGGGAAAGCCACTAACCATTTACAAAATGGGAAAAACTTCTGCACCTCTGATTTGCTCTGAGAATCAAACACCATAGTGTGTACAATGTTGTTCTGAGAACTGTAAAATGCTGTAAAAAACCTCATTGTGATGTGATAGACATGCTTGTTCTCAAGGCCCAGCCAGGCAGGTCCAGCCCAGGCAGGGCCCCTGTGCACAGCCCCTTCCCACCCCCACCCAACTCCTCAGCAACTCTGATTATCCCCCAGATCCAAGGAGAGAACCCAGCAGCCCAGAGAGTGCAGTACCGCGGCGTGCTGGGCACCATCCTGACCATGGTGCGCACCGAGGGCCTCCGCAGCCCCTACAACGGGCTGGTGGCAGGACTGCATCGCCAGATGAGCTTCGCCTCCATCCGCATTGGCCTCTATGACTCCGTCAAGCAGTTCTACAGCCCCACAGGAGCAGACCGTGAGTGCCTGGTACCCCACAGACACCAAGGGGGCAGAGGAAACAGAGCTTACTCGTGAGTCAGGACCCTGGAGCAGTCTAGACTCGGAGGCACACTCTGGGTGTGGGGAGCCGTTACAACGCCCAGGAGGAGGCTGATGATTTGGGGGACAGTCCTGGGCCCTCCTGGGGGGGAAGAGTGTGGGCAATCGCAGGGCAGCTTGAAGAACATCTGCAGTTAGCATGGACTCTGGCATATTCTCTCGACCTTCCCCAGATGCCAGCATCGCTATCCGGATTCTTGCGGGCTGCACCACAGGGGCCATGGCAGTAACCTGTGCCCAGCCCACAGACGTGGTGAAGATCCGATTTCAGGCCAGCGTACGCCTGGGGCTGGAGAGCGACAGGAAATACAGCGGGACTATGGACGCCTACAGAACCATCGCCAGGGAGGAAGGGATCAGGGGCCTGTGGAAAGGTAGGCCAGGGAACCTCAGGCAGGGCACAGAGCAAGGAGGAAACTCCCAGAGTAGTGCATTCCAGTGAGGCCATAAGAACACCCCAAACAAATCCCTCACACACAGCGGCAGATTCAGTCCAATTTACTGACACCTCACCATGTGCAATGTGCAGGCTGCTGTGAGGAAGACAGACATCAGTATGACACTTTACATTCTCACGGTGCACTCAGATGGCAGAGGTGAGACACTGAGCAGCTGCTATGCCACAGGCAGGACATGCCAGGCGTCCTCCAGAGGTGTAGACCCAGAGGTTGGATTGACCACGCTGGCTCCAGGGAGAAGGGGGCACCTGAGCCGGCCTTAAGGTTGAGTGGGCTCTAGGTGTGTGGAGATGGCAGGGAAGAGCCTTCCAGTTTCCAGTCACAGAACAAAAACAGGCTCCAGAGGAGCATAGCTATGAGGAGAGGTGTGCAGGGAGATGCAGTGAGGAGAGCGATTTCTCGGGAGCAAAGACTTTTGTGTCCGCTGTGTGTCTACATGGTGGCCACCTTGAAAAATGGCAGAATCTCTCCCGCATATGGGCCACATCTGCATCCTTGCAGAAGAAACAGGGACTTTGTTAAGATTAAGGGCAACACACCTGGTCACAGCGCCAACTCTGCACCATCTTGCTGGGAACCCCTCAGCCTTTCCCTTCCTCAGTGACACCATCCCTCTCCAGCTCTGCCAGTGCCCCATGCTGTCACCATCGCAAGGGCCCAGCTCCTCTCTTCTACAAATGACTTCCTTTTCTGGTTGCACCTGGTCTGGTCGCCCCCACCATCGCCTAGGACAATAGATGTGACAGGGCCCTCTCCTGCCTCTTTGTAAAAGCAGGACCTTCTAGTTGGGGTGGGCTCCCCTGGCTGAGACCACTGCAGTGCAGTACAATTGCCCCCAAACTGGGCTTGGGACCTTGCAACAGGGACAACCACTTCTCCGTTCAACAGCCCCCGCCACCTTCCTCACAGGAACTTTGCCCAACATCACAAGGAATGCCATTGTCAACTGTGCGGAGATGGTGACCTATGACATCATCAAGGAGAAGCTGCTGGACTCCCACCTGCTAACAGGTAAGGCCCTGGGTTTCAGGGAGGCAGTGCCCCCTCTACAGGGTGGGCACCACCCAGGGGCAATGGGGCTTTCGCAGGAGCTGGAAGAGGAGCAGAGCCCGGTACAAGGCTGTGATGAGTAGGAAAGGCCTGGGCTGGAGGTCAGAGCCTTGGGTTCCAAGACCAGCATCACTTCTCGCTACTTGTCTTCCAGTGAGAGTCTTTCACCTCTGACTTCAGCTTCCTAAATGAGGCCGCTGGGCCGTGTGGCCTTCTGACTCTAGGATGCTCAGTTCTGGTTTGTCAGGACTTACTGAGAGCTCAGCCCTGGGCACCATGAGGGAGACGGATGATTCCATCTTATGCTCAAGGAGTTCGAGGTTGAGATGGAGACAGAGAATGAATGCACACGGAACGGAGTGCAAGTCACTCACTTCCTGATAGCCGCTCTTCCGTCCCCCCCGACAGACAACTTCCCCTGCCACTTTGTCTCTGCCTTTGGAGCCGGCTTCTGTGCCACAGTGGTGGCCTCCCCAGTGGACGTGGTGAAGACCCGGTATATGAACTCACCCCCAGGCCAGTACCGCAGCCCCCTGCACTGTATGCTGAGGATGGTGGTCCAGGAGGGCCCCACAGCCTTCTACAAGGGGTAAGCCTCCCGCTCCTGCCTCCAGCACTCCCTCCCTGAAAAATCAGGCTTTTTTATCTTGTGTACCTACCACTGGTCTACCTGGGGATACAGTGGTGACCAGTACAGACACAAATGTCACAGAGAAGTATAAAGAACAATGAAAGTTTTTAACAAGTGGACAAAACCTGATTGGACAGTTAGGGGATCCTTACTGAGGAAAAGGCTCTTTACTAAGAATAGGTAAAAGGATAGGTCTAGCCCCAAACACTTTGGGCAGGGGAGAAGGAGAAAAAGGTGGTTAGTGCTCCTGAGACTCTTCCAGAACCTACTACCACGACTATTGATGGCCACATTCATGGCAGCAGAAGTGCCATACTCACCACGCCAACGCTTGTGTTTTCTATGCACTTGCATTTGCTGTTCCCTCTGCCTGGAATGCCTTTCCCTCACACCTCTATGCTCTGAGTCTTTGCCATTCTGCCAGACTATTCTAATGCCACCTCCTCCCTAACACACATCTATAAATTTTCTCTCCTCCCTGTCAACTTGGGCAATACCACTTGATTGCATTTTTATGGTATTTATCACCTCCTGCCTTATATTACAGTATTTGCAAGCTTAAATTATTTACCATGCTAGAGTGCAAGCTCCTTAGAGCCAAGGACTGGTGGCTCATCTGGAATCACTAGCACTAAGCAAGCCCGCGGTAATGTGTGTTACGTAGCCTCGCCCAGCTGGCTGAGTGCCTGTGCACCGGGCCTTGCACAAAGCACCTTACCTAAGTTATCTCATCAACTCCTGACCCGGCCAGTAGTTCCCCACATGGACTGAGGAAGAGACTGTACCTCAGAAAGGTAACTTGTCTAAGATCACAAATTAAAATTACAGCACCATGGCTTAAATCCAAACCACCTGATATCACACCTAAGGTGTGGCTGTTTATCCCCCTGGTAAAACTGCTTGGCCCTCGCACCGCTCACCACTGATGCCTTTGGCAGATAGTTTTCTGGTGCCCAGTGTTACACTGAATCCAATAAGCAAACGAGAATCACTATAGGTTCTCAAGTTTGGAGAATAAAACTGTCTTTCGCTTCACAGACCACCCGGCTAAGTGCTTCTCTGGTTTCAGCCTTCAGCTGTAGTAGCTGCTTGTTTATACTTTCCCTTGTCAAACATTGACTGAACATCTACCTTGTGGGCAGCAGGCCTTGTGCCGCGCCTCGCTCAAACAGCAGCAGACAAGTACGTGAGATACACTGAATGTTGACTGATTGGGACCTATGCTGTGGGCTGTCCAACACAGACTTGTTTAATCCACACGACAATGCTGTAAATACTGACGGGACGTGGTGGCACACACCTGTAATCCCAGCACTCAGGAGACTGAAGCAGGAGGATCACCACAAGTTCGAGGGCAGCCTGGGCTACATAGCAAGACCCTGTCTCAAAGAAAAAAAAGTAGATACTGTCATTTTCTCATTTTAAAAATGAGGAAACCAAAGCTCAGAATGATTAAGTCATTCATCCAGAGCTGTGTGGGGCTGAGCTAAATTTGGTTCCCGGCTGTCTTCGCCCTCCTGTGACCCTGCTTCTCCCTGTCCCAGCAGGGGCCCTCCTCAGATGTGGCAGATCAAGGTAGAAATGAGCCAGAAAGCCCAGCATCAGGCAGAGTTAGGTCAGACATCACATTTGAAGCTCATGGCTGCTACGTACTAGGTGTGTAGTTTTGGTTGAGCTCCTTGGTCTCCCTAGGCCTCAGTTTCTAAAAGAGAAACACAGCAACAAACACAATTATCATATAGAACTGTGAGAATTAACTGCCAGACACAGTAACCTGTCTCAAAGTGTTAACACTTTCCTGCCTCCAACTTCTTTTTTTTTTTTTTTTAATCTTTTTGAGACAGGGTCTCTGTATGCAGTTCAGGCTGGCCTTGCACTCACTTTGTAGCCTAGGCTGGTCTCAAAATTCACAACAATTCTCCTGCCCCAGCCTCCTGAGTGGTGGGATTACAGGTGTGCACCACCACGCCCAGCTACCTGCCTCCAACTTCTGCCTAAATCCCTTCAGAGTAGACCAAAACTGAAAGAATCTCAGAAAATGCTTATGATAAATTAGGCATGGTGGCACATGCCTATAATCCCAGCACTCATGAGGTTGAGGGAGGAGGATCACCATGAGTTTAAACCCAGTGAGACCTGTCTCAAAAAAAAAAGAAGAGCCAGACATGGTGGCGCACTCCTGTAATCCCAGCACTCGAGAGGCTGAGGCAGGAGGATCGTTGTGAGTTTGAGACCAGCCTGGGCTACAAAGTGAGCTCAAGGCCAGCCTGAACTGCATAGTGAGACCCTGTCTCAAAAAGACAAAAAAAAAAAAAAAAGAAGAAGAAGACAGAGAGAGAAAGAGAGAGAGAATGACAGAAAAAAAAAGAAAAAACATGCTTGATGAATGGTTTGGTTCTTTAGCATCAATGCATGTAAAGGCGAGCATAGGGATCTACTTGCTGGCCCACTCCTCCTGATGTTGTGGTTGGTTTTATTTCATCAGATTCACCCCCTCCTTTCTTCGTCTGGGATCCTGGAATGTGATGATGTTTGTAACCTATGAGCAGATGCAGCGGGCCTTGATGAAAGTCCAGATGTTGCGGGAATCTCCATTTTGAACAAGACCAAAAGGCCGGTCGGTACTTACCTTGCATGAGGCCAGTCAAGATTGGAATAAACAGTGGACCCACACCTGCTCTGACACAAGATTCCAGAAATGTGCACTTATCACTGATTCCAGAAATAGAACTAGGAGAACATTCTGGTGTGCAGGGCTTTGTCTTAAGAACACTTTGTTTTGCACTGACATGATGGAAAATAAATTATATTAATTTGTGAAACCCATTGGGTTGGGTGCCTAACATTTAGGCAAGAGAAAACAAACCAGAGCAGATCTATTTGAATAAAAAGGAAGTTTGCAAGGTCATCTTCCCAGAAAATCAGATGAGGCAATCAGTTACCACCAGGAAAGTCTGCTGCCTGGGACGGAGCAGTACAGTTGGAAACCAGCTAAGAGCCTCAGGGACACCACGGGCGCAGCGCAAAGCCGGGGCTGCAGCCTTCCCAGTCAGTCTCACAGGGATCTGCTGCCTGTTGGTAAGGAGTCAGCCAACTGGGATTCTAGGAAGTTAAGGAACAAAAGAAAAAAATCTGGAACCTGTGCCAAAAGAGACCTGGGCCATTCCAGGCTGAGGCCTGCAAAGGCCCCGCCTCAGGACACTGGAAGGTCAAGAGGTGGCCTCAGTCCCCTGTCTTGTGAAATGGGCACTAGGGTGTCAGGAGGATCAAGTGAGAAGCTGGCCATGAAACCACTTTATAAAAGAAAAACTCTGGACATAGGCAAGTATGAGGACTATGCCTGGGAAAGGATTTTGTTGGGACGGAGAAGAACTGCCAGGGAGGAAGTTTTGGAAAAATACAGTTGCCTGCTGGTACAGTGCGGTGACAGTGACAGTGGATGACGCGGTGCTCCCTGGCTGCACCGTGTGGTGCAGAAGAGGCACTGCCTGCTGACAGCCTCAACTACAGGACTCCGAATCTTTGGAAAATTATTATGAATAAAGGAATTCCCACCTTAAGTGAGGGAATAAAAACAGCCACTTTTCTGCCTTCTCTTTCGTGGACAGGGTCTTCTCTACTCCCTGCAGGGTTCCTATCTGTCAGGACTGGGCCAGCCCTGGTCCCAGCAGCCCACACTTCCTTCTGCTCTCTCACTGTCCCCTTGGCTGCAGGCAAGTTGCTGTACTGCTAGGCCTTTGGCTGCTCCATGTACAAAAGAGAAGCCTGGACCAGGTGACTATTTTCCAGCTTACGACTGCACATCATTCAGGTTGATAATGAGGACCCACAGTGCCAGTGGCTTTTCCTGCTTCTTAGAGCTTAGTATAGCTCTGAGGATAATAAGAACTTCCCTCATTCTATCCTACTAATAATTTAAGGGACTCCTTGGCCCTCAGTGTCTTCCCAGAAAAGTGGGAACGACAATCCCTACCTTGTGCACTCTGCTGTGAGGGTTAACCTAAATCACCCAGGAATAAAGGAGGAGCTCGGCAATGGCATTTCATTTCCTCCTTTCTTCCTATGCATTCTTCCCTAACTTTAAATTGAAGCTGAATAGTTCAAACAAAAGCAATCTAGGTGCGATGGTGCACACCTATAATCCCAGCACTAGGAGGCTGAGGCAGGAAGATCACAAATTTAAACCCTGGGTGACTTAGTGATTTAGTGAGACCCTGTCTCAAAATTTAGAAAGAGCTAGGGGGCCAGGGATGTAGCTCAGTGGCACAAGCATCTGCCTGGCAAGCACAAGGTCCTGAGTTTTATTGCCAGTACAAAAAAAAAAGAGAAAAGAAAAAAGAAAGAAACCTTGCTACTCCCTTTGAGCTGGGAATATAGCTCAGTGGCACAGTACCTGCCTGGTAAGTGTAAGATCCTGAGTTCAGTTCCCAAAACAACAACAAAAAAGACAAAATAATAATAATAATAATAATTTGCCAGGCATCGTGGTACACGCCTGTAATCCCAGCACTCAGGAGGCTGAGGCAGGAGGATCTTTGTGAGTTCAAAACCAGCCAGCACTACAAAGTGAGCTCAAGGCCAACCTGAACTGCATAGTGAGACCCTGTCTCAAAAAGACAAAAAGAAAAAAAAAGAGAGAGAGAGAGAGAAAGCTTTTATCAGAGAGAGAGGGACAGAAGGTGGGCCTGAGTGGGTTGCCCAAAGAACCTGTCTTTTCCATGGATTTTATAGAGCAAAATCACGAGGTGAGGTGTGTCCAAGGTGGGGTAAAAATAGGAAATCACAAGGTGGGCATGAGGTGGGACAGAACTATGGTCATCCAATAAGAATTGTTCAGGTAAAATTGATTAAATGGGGAGTCATGTAGTAAGCAGGCATAAATACAGAACAGGAGCTCTACCTGTAAGGAGCTGGGTCAGTCACTCTTCAAGGTGATCACTATCTATTCAGAATATCAATCCCTGAGGTTCATCTCTCGGGAGGTCTATGGGTGCTTTTGTTTAATCTTTTGTCTTAAGATCTGGCCCACAGCAATACCACCTCTCCATTTGCAAGGTATCTGGTCTTCCATACTGGCTCCTTCGAGGGCCTGGCCCTGTCTGACTGCCTATAATGTTTCTATCTACCTCAGCTGCCTACATCATCTGCAGGAAAGCAGGAGCTGGCACGCAGAAGACCACCACCTGAGGCCCACCCAGGAAGGACCACTCCTGAGCTCCATGCAGCCATTCCCCTACATCCCACCTCCAGCCAAGTCATTTTAAAGAAATCTGCTTTTCTTCAAACTCTCCTAGTTTGGGGCCAGGGATATAGTTCAGTGGCACAGCACCTGCCTGGCAAGCGCAAGGTCGTAAGTTCAATTCCTCGTATCCAAAAGAGAAAAAAAAACCTCTCCTAGGGTATCAGGCAAAAAAAAAAATGAAACAGTTTAAGCCTGGACTCAGTCACCACAGTGACAATGGGTAAGTGACTTTATGGTAAGTAAAGACAATGTCTTACAGAATATTTTATTCAGGAGAAATGAATGTTAAGTAAGGAATGTAATTATATAACTCTACATGAGCTCATTTGTGTCAGAGCATGTTAAAACTGCAGAATGTGCTGTACAATGCACAAATTCACTGTGCATGCACCTTAAGCTTCATATTATGTCAGGTGCTGAGGTAAACAAGGCCAGCCCTGTCTTGAAGGAACTCAGTGGAATAGAAGTGAGGCAGGACAGGAAAATTAGATAGATGGAAAGTAGATATGAAAATTGTACTTTTAATAAAAAGTGAATGTTCAAGACACAAAATTCCCTAAGGTCCTTAAAGATATAGTACGCCTGGGGCACTCCCTTTTACCTATAAATGAACTTTTTTTTTTTACCTAGTAATAGACCATCTCTATTACCTGGAAAATAGTACTTGCCCAGTGGAAGGGCTACAGTTCTATCACCTGTGATGTCTGTCACCTACAAATGGGCTGTTACTCTTTCCCTGCAGAAGAGTTTCTCATCTGTAAATTGAATCCCCCCCCCCTTTTTTTTGAGACAGGGTCTTGCTATGTAGTTCAGGCTGGCCTTGAGTTCACTATGTAGGCCAGGCTGGCCTCAAACTCATAGCAATCCTCCTGCCTCAGCCTCCCAAGTGCTGGGGTTACAGGTGTGCACCACCACACCTGGTCTGAATCCCCTTTCTATAGACTTACAAGTTCTACAGATTTCCTCTCCCAAATCCCCCAATAATATACCCAGCTCAAGGCCATAAACGTCTCCCTCTTAAGGGCCATACTCTAGTATTTCTTTTAGTGTGTTTAATTACTTTTAAATTTTGCCTAATAAATCCCTTTCTGCCTCTTACTGACACACCCTGAATTTTTTTTTCTATGATAAGAGTCAGCAAACCTACAACTTGTCCCATAGCTTGGGTGAGTCAAGGTTCCCATCTTTACTTTGGGGTCCTCTCTGGACTCTGTCCTGTAACATAGAATGCTGGGTGATGTGTTTCTCACCTCAAAGATTCCTGCTGAGTCACCATGGCACCGAGCCAATATGGCACTGGCCACTGGAGGCCATGTGCTAAGCCCCACACTTCTTCCTCTGAGTCAAATTACTGCTTCCTACTTCCCCTTTTGTAATATCCTGTTTCCTTTTCTCACACTCCTGCCCAGTCCCTGTCTGCCATATCAGGTGGTCCGCCCCCTAAGCCCCGCCTCCAGATTGGTCCTATTTAACCTTTGTCCCTAGGCCAGGCCTTCAGAAGCTCCACATCCCTCCTTTCTGCTGTGGTCTTCTCTGCATCCACAATAAAGGCATTTTTATTTTTGTTGTATTCTTATCTGTGCCAAAAAACCTATCACTGGGCAGGAAAGAAAAATGAGCCACAAGCTACCATATAAGACTGTTAACCGCTACAGATTGATGTACCAGTACTGGTTTTTGGGTCCCAAAGATATTTCCCTACTGGAGACCCTTTCCACAGCACCAGGGACACCTGTAGTGAGTCCTCAATTTCCTGGCTGGAGCTACGGTGTACAGCAGAGAGAAAGAGCAAGAGACAAAACAGAGAGGCAACAGGGATGCAACAGGAACCTGGGATGACCAGTTGTTCTCTGGAAACTAAAGGCCATGAGGCACCCAGAACCTTGATATTTATTCATTACAACTGAGTCAAGGACAGTGGGTGAAGGGCAATGGGTGTTTCTGGGAACAGTAATGGTGACCAAGGTGGGCTAGTAAAGGACAAAACATTCTTGCAAGGACAAGGACAAGACAGGGAGCCAATAAGGAAACTGTAGTTTACCCAGGTGCCTTATCAGTCTTCAACAGGTCTTATATTGCCCTGTAAGCGCCACAGCAGTCCTTAGCCCTAGGGCTTCCAGCTGTGACCAGAAAAGAGCAGGGAGTTTCTGTGTTCTAATCTGGCTCAAAAGTCAGGAAAAGGACAAACTCAGACATCTCCTAGATTCAATTTATAATTCGTGGTCCCCAACAATTTCCAGGGATTCTTTCCAAGATCTTGGTGTCCCAAACAAAGAACAAGACATGCAAAAAAAGGTAGTGAGGATTTACATTTATTAAAGGTAGAAAAAGAAGTATGCTCTACAGGGTAAGACCAGGCCACTGAAAGAATTTACAGTGGCCCCAAGGTTAATGACAGGGGTCTTTTTGTATCACTCATTCCTCAGTCTGATGTCAGATCTAGGTTGTCCTATAAAAAGCCCATTTGATTTCACACCAGATGTAAATGAAGAATTGAAGATAGCACTTTTTGATTGGTTCCAGATTCTGGGTTTGGGAACTGTTCTACAACTGTGTTCTGGGTCTCTGTGATTTTTTTTTTAAAGAGTGGGAAAGATTTATTGAAAGAGATATAGGACTCAAGAGGGGAATGCAGGTGCTGGACTCCTGTTTTATGCTGCATTTAAACTTACTAGACTTGCTGTCAATTGAAATCTATCACCATTTTAACAAAAACACAAGACATAAGCTACTGACAAGATGACAATTTCAGTTACCCAAATGAGTCACAATGCAGAATATTTAAGGGTGCCATGAAGAAAAAGCAAACTTGTACCTCCTTCCAAAGATCTTGCTGGGGCCTCCAAGATGCTATAGTTAAGATACAACTCCCAAACTGATGTGTTGAGTTTGTATTCTCTGAAATCAAAGAATGAATTCCAAAGTACAGAGGAGGTTAAGAGTAGGAAAGATTTTTTTTTTTTTTGGTTTTTTTCATGACCTTGTGCTTGCCAGGCAGGCACTGTGCCACTGAGCTAAAGCCCTTAGGAAAGATTTATTGAGAGAGAGAGATAGGACTCACTATAGAGCAGAGTGCAGATGATCAAAGGAATGAGGCACACACAGTTGGGAGCTGGGAAATGGGAAATAGGAATAGCTCCTGAGAGATAGGAGAGGTCCTAAATGGGTTGCCCTCAGTCTCCATGATTGATAGGTCATACCCACTTTCCCAGCCAATTTGCCCCACCCTAATCTCCTGCCTCAGTATTTTATAGTTTAAATATGGGGTACCTCCCCCAAAGCCTCATGTGCTTGGAAGGTGTTCAGGGGGCCCAGTAGACAGATGAGGGACACCT